CATGAGATAATTTTTGATATCTCTGCTAAAGAAAACCATAATGCATAGTTTGGGATCCTAAATTATAGCTGGATTTTCTGCTCTTAAGTGTTCATTTGCTTACATGGGAGGGGCTAATGAAATAAAGTAGCAACAATTTGTACCAATGCATGACTTTTTATTTCTTTGGATCAAATAGGAAGTGATGTGTGGACTTAAACTGTTTTCAAATGGCCTTTCCAGTTCTGTTAGAAGCAATGTTCAGGCTAAACTGCCAACATTTTTCTTCAGTGTGAAAAATGCTGACTGTGGGGCTTGTGTTAAAATACAGCACACACACCTAAGAATCTAATGTCCTATCTATTGTTGGATATGACTCTATTAGCTTTGCATGTTGTGAATTATCTGGACTACAAACCCCTCTTCTTTTTCTTTCCTTCTCAGTATCTGTGTAGTGATCATTTTCCTGCTCACTGGTTTATCCGCTACTAAAATACAAGTGAAAATAAAAGGAGAATATAAAGGAGACACTTCCTACCTCTGGGAGGAATACAAAAAGCACACACATTTGTACCAGTTAGCAGCCCTAAATATCTGTTGAATAAATAGTTTTAAACAATTGACTGAAATACATATTTTGAATCTGCAAATATTTCCTGAAACACAGAAGCTGTGTAGGTTAGGCAGCTACGGTATAGCTCTAAAATTCAGAGGATCCCTTCTATTTTTGGCACAGAAGATAGTCACATGGCTATGAAACATGAATTTGGATGCCAAATGAATAACAAGCTTGGAGGCTGAGCTCCAAGTGACTTCAAACATCTGTGAAGTGAAAATATCCCTGTACCAAGGCGTGCTACTGTGTTGAAAACAATTACTGTTACTGATCATTTTCTTGCTTAAAATAAAGTACATCTCTTCTCATGGGAGCAGGTGTAAGGGTGACTTTGTGAATCTCCATTAATCACATCACAAATGGACACCCTCCCCTATTCTTGTAAATCCATGCAAACAAAATTACACTTTCTAACATCTCAAAAGAAGAAGTGTGCAATTTGTTAGCAAGAAAGGATAAATTTCACCTTCCCACTTCTCCAGGATTCATAGTAATCCAAAATCAAGAGAGCACAGACACTTTGAAAATCTGCCCCTTTAGCCCCTGCCTTTGGTATATTAATGACTACAAGATGTTGGACGCATATTTGAGCAGTAAGAAGAACCTGCTTCCCAAAGGGAAAAAGAAACTGGGAACAGACCCAGAGAAACAATAACTTAGTGGACAGGTCTAAGAAACTCTGAATATCAGCACGTTCCAAAGCTTAGTAACAAAGCTTAGAATGTCATGTGATCTTTACTTGCAAGTCAGCGCAAACCTTTTCTATCATTATGACATCTAAAGCGTGACTTATTTTTCATAAACAGATATTTTTATTACGTTGGAATTTATCCTACGATGCTACAATTAGCATTCTGCCATTCTTTTTTGTCACAGTCATACAATGGTTTACTATCTACCTTTAAAAAGTAAAGAGTTAAGAGAGAAGGGAAATTGGTATTAGGTCCTGCATTGAATTTAGGTTCCTCTTTAAAGGATGCAGTGAAACAAAAATGTCCTCCTTTCAAAATGCTTATTTTGGATTTGAAGAGCATTCTCACCCAGGTGCCATTCTTTCTTTCTTTTACTTTTCTTCCATTTGTTTTACCTTTCCTCCACACATCAGTGATGCAGATTAGCACTGGCCTCCAAGCCTCAGGCATCAAAGGAATTAGGTCAGACCAGAAGAAATCAGGTTGCAGGCAAGAAAAAAATTTTAACAAAATAGAAGCTATGCCAGCCTGGAGCTTCTGTACTCCTTCAGGCAGACTAACAAGCCCTGGTCTTGGGTAATTGATACGTGGGAGAAAAGCAGAGATGTTTGAGAGACCAAAGATTTGTATAGTATTAGCAACGTGATGATACGTTGAATTTATTTAAAGCCAGTCTGTAATAGTGCTCTGATGGGCGTGGTGCTCAGCCTTAAAACAATTGCAATTAAAAGTAATTCCAGGAAAAGAGAAAAGATCTAGTGCAATATCTGTTTGCTATAATTTATGAGTTTTTAAAAGTCACTTTGTATTTGTATTCCATCTGAGATCAGTGGTCTTTTAAAGCATATATTAAGTGTACACAGAAAATTAATTTTATGTTAGCATGTTTAACGCTTACTTACTCAAACAGCATATTATCTTCTTTTGAGTTATTTTAAGGACAAAAAATAGAAAGAGATTGTACTGGAAAATGTTCATTCTCCAGATGACCATTTTAGTTGCCGTTATTACTGGCTCCAAAATGATTGGAGGAGCAATTCAAATTCAACCTATCACATTATCCAAGGGCATTCTATGAATAGCTGCAACCCAGAGCAAGTTCTGGCAAAGATGCAAAGGCAGCGTATCAAAGTCAGCAATAGCATTCAAGAGTATTTTCCAGAGTTGGCGAATGCAGATGAGAATATTTATATGTCATCTCTCAAACTATAGAAAGTATTTTGGGAAAGATATTTTTCACAAGTCTTAGATTAGCCATTATAGCAATTTAAAGGAGGTTTTTTTTGTTTGTTTGTTTGTTTTTGTTTGTTTGTTTTGGATGATGAAACAAACCTTTGGGTGATGCCAGTCACATTTACACATCATCCCATTTAATCCTTGCAGCAGCCCCATGAGGGAGATATTGGTGTCTGCATTTGCGATGAGAAACTGAGGCGCAGGCATTAAGCAACTTGCTAAAGACCTCAAAGTTAGAAGGTAGCAAAGACAGAATATGAACTCAGGAATGTGAGGGAATTTCTAGAGGTTTTTCTCACTATTGGAAACAGTTTTAAAGTTTTAAGAAAGGTGAAGCCTCTTTGGTTTCTGAATGTAGTAAATCTCAAATTCTGATAGCTCTCACGCATCTCTTCAAAAAGGATCATGAGTAAGATCATTTTAACCAAGGGAAAAATATTATCCTACCTAACATGTATTGAGAAATTACTTCTACCAAATATACTTAAATTTTTCATGCATAAAATTCACGTAATACTCACTATAAGATATACAGTTACCATCTCCAGTTGAAGAAAGGGAAACCGAGGCAGACAAAAGTTGAGTAATTTCCCTTAGGTTATCAGGTAGACAGAGTAAGAGCCAGGATTCGTTAAATGATTTTGTGAATATAAATGAATACCAATAATTAAGGACACATTTTGCATATACTGTGCTTTTTGTCTAGAATTATCTTTCCTTTTCACCATCTTCTCCTACAGTTCAACTTTAATGTCAGCCTTCCCAGATCCACCTCTCTAACTTTGAAGCCTTTCTATCTTCATGGTGTAGTGCTATCATATCATCTATCACATAGTGTAGTAATGATATCCTTAACTTTCTCTCCACTTGGATGCTAAGCTCGCGGGGGGAAGAGGCTCCATCTTCCACGTCATTCTATCACTAGTAATATTACTTGTTATGTAGCAGCCACCTAAAACAGGTTGGATTTACAAGTGGAAGAAAGAAAATAATTGAAAAATACTTGGTTGCAATAGATGGATAATTGGGTGAAGGATGGCTAGATTTATTGATGGATGAATACACGAATGGATGGAAATATAAAAAAATAAATGACATACACATAGGAAACATATGAGTCCGTCCAATGTGTGTGCCAGTTTTAAGTAGAGAGAGCTTCCTGGGTGCATTTCTAAAAAGAAGAACTTTAAAAAAAAATTCAGTTGCTTTTCTGCCTTATTTTTAATTACTGTTCTTTTTTCTATTGTTTTCTTTTAATGGCCATTAATAATGACTCAGCAAGCTGGTGATAAATTTGTTCTTGGACGTTTTCCCTACTTTTTTGTTATGTATATATCAAAGTTTTTGGCTTGATTTCACTCCTCTTAAGTAAAGGAGACTTTTATTCCTCTAATTACCTTCGAGTTCCTGCATTGAATGCACTGCATTCCTGACTCCCTGGATGTAGCCCTCCACTCCCCTCAGCCATTTGCCTAGCAGGCGCTACTTGAAGGTTTGGCCTCTAGTATCCCTACTAGATTGAGCAATGAAAGCAGCATAAAATCCTAAACCTACTGTCAAGTGGGAATCCTCTACTTCAGAACAGATATATCATCCTGGCCCTAAAAAGAAACAGACCACATAATATTTCCAATATTGTCATAAATTCATCCACTTTGAGTATTTGTTATATTTACTTACCAGGCAGAGCAGGGAAAAAAAAATGGTTTTGTCATCAATAACCAAAGTATTGTAAGAAAACATTAATTTCACTTAAAAAAAAAAGGCATGAAAACTGTAGGCTACCATTATGGATGCCTTATGATATAGCTTATAAATACAATATTATATTAAGAATGTAATTGCTAGAGACACTGCTCCATGAAAGATGTCGGGTTGTTTACAAGAAAAAAAAAAAAATGTCATGTCCTCCTCTGAGAGTTGTTTTGGATGATTACTTATCAGGGTTTAAAAATATAAAGGCAAATAAAGATTGGTCTTTCTACTTGAGGTCAGTAGTTCACTGATTTTTGTCAAGAGAAGTTTACTAGATTTCCTTTTGCACTATCAGACAGCTTGTCATTTTTTATGTGATAGACTATGTAACTATTTTTCACGGTGGTATATTATCCATCTCTACATATACACACATACATTTACACATACATATTTACCCTATGGCACTGCATTCACTGTGCAAGTGTACCAAAACCTATTTAAGTTGCAAACATCAAAGAGGAAGGGGAAAAGCAGTCCTATTGCCACTATGTGTAGATGTCTGACAAAGTCTCCTAAAGACCAATTGATCAATATACAAAAATCGTCACAACTGCTAAAGGCTGCCAACATAATCTTTTAAAGCAAATGTAAAAGTAGATACTGAAAAATATGGGTTACCAAAGTATTCTTTACCTCTGGTTCCCCACTCTGTGCTGTCTCATATTCTTGCAAGTCTCATTGGGATGCTTGGTAAACACACTTCACCTTTCTTTCTTCAGTTTCAGGGTAGAAAGGCTCCCTTTAACTCCTGAAGACAGTAAATCACAGTCTGTGTGGTGGTTCTCAGAAGACACTTAAAGGACTGAACTGGATGCTCTACATAGCACCCTTGCCAAAAGGGTTCGGAAATGACTTCCAGCTTCCCACAGTAATAAAATGGCACTGTTTGGCATCTTCGAGGTAATAAAAGTGAATTTTTTCCATTCTAGTAAATGAGAAGAGAGGCCTGGTTGTTTTAAAAACTGATTTAAATTCGTGTGTTTTCTTCACATTATAGAGCGTGATATGAGCACATTTAGGTGAACTTCAGACCACCTCAGAACATTACTATCCGCAGCTCTCTGGGGCAGAACTGGATGTGCTGGCGGGTGGTAGAAGGGAGGTTGGAAGGATGGCCAGGTGCCCTGGACACTGCAGCCGTGATACGATAGGTGGCGCTCTCCCCTCTGAGTCTGTGTGAAAGATCTCCGAACGTGCTCTTTGGAGGATATTATTTTGCTTGAAGGAAATGTCTTGGACGTTCATCAGTGTTTCTGGCACTGTTTAACAGCTGCTGAGTCTCATAGCAGACTCTGGCTGTATTTTGGTGATGGGAAAAGCTTTAGAAAACAGATTTCCTGTCTTTAAGGAGGAGGCTTATGTTAGGCATTATTGTCATTTGTATACAAGACTTTTTATAATTCAATTTCGCTGTCCTCCCAGTTGCAAAGGAAAATATTTTGTCATTCCTATTTGACTCATAGGGTCTAGGAAGAAGTTTGATCATCTTCCATTTCCCATCTGGTTATTCATAAGACACCTGCATCTCTGTGATTTCTCCTAGACTACACAATGCTACCAACTGACAACAGACATTGTATAAAAGAAGGCCACCTTTCAGAAAAGGAACCTGAACATTAAAAGCTTGTCAACCAAACACACAGGATATAGCTTTTATTCCTTATTTCAACTGCACCAGAAGTGGAAATTATAACTCTTTTAAGCAGAAAAGACAAGATTGATACTTTTTACATAGAATCCAACCCACATTTGTCTTTGTTTATATTTTGCAATTATAAGGCTATTAGAAACAAATTAGTAGTATCACCGAAGAATTTTTAATGACTTGCTGATTTCAACTATTGCCAAATACCCTCATCTACTCATCACATTCTTAATTAAGAGACACCAGTGTCTGTGTGTTTTTATAATCTCTTTGTTAAAATTACTCAGTAGTGGCCTCAGTAGTTACAGACTAGTCCATTAATTTATTAGAGAGATTCAAAAGATTATTACAAAAGAAGCAGGATGTAGACACACCCAGCTTAAAAATAGTGGGGAAGAGAGGGGTCCCTAACAAAAGATATGATAAGAGGAAAGGGAAATATCACTGCAGTTCATAATGATGGTTGGTAAGCAGTTCATAATGATGGTTGGTAAACAGTTGAGTACATGTTTTTAAGTCTGTAACAACTTGGTTCAACAAAGTAAGAATTAGTTGTAAACGCTAATGTCTTTCACTTACAAATCCTCCCTGTGAGTATGACCCAACTCAGAGCATTTGACTTCAATGGGTGACCATCTGCAATAAAAAGGAGAGTGGTTCCTTCTGTGCTAGTCCTGAAATACTAACAGAGGCAGCATTCCTGCACATAGTAGGAAATCAATAAATACCTGCTGAACGGATGAATACATGACTAAACATGTGAAGAACAGTATCTCCTTTTTCTAAAGTACCATTACAGAAGTAATGGTACTTTCGACAAATATGTAAGGGTAAAAACAATTACATTCTTGATCTTTAAAGTGTAATATATTTCTCCCCCATATTTCTTCTTTTTTAAAATATAAAAACTGTACTTTATGTACCCTGAACAACCTTTCTGCAAAAAAAAAAAAAAAAAGAAAAGGAAAACACAAAACACATTCATCTCTGCCTCTTACATTAGCAGACTTTCCTAAGAGTTTTTATGGTTATACTTCAACTTGTTCCCTGTATGCTACCTCCTCTGTAACTTGACTTTAAATTATCTGTTTATCTTCTCATATTCCAAATATTATTGAATACATGTAGTAGATTAAATAATCAGTTTCCTTTGAATATTCTTAGTTGTGATTTCCTAGTTTAACATTCACATTTTGCATCCAAATGGTATTTGTCTTCATATAATTGATAAAATTCCATTTATTCATTCATTTAACATATATATTGGTTGAATGCCTATCATGTGGAAGATAACCTACTAAATGTAGAAATTCACCAGAAAATAATCAACTTCTCTTTATTCCCCAAATTCAGAGTTCCCTAATACTACAGGTGTACTTTAATTTGGTCAGTGGTGCCAAGTAGTCAGATAGGTGAAATATTTCCTTTAGGAGGGCGGTACTGAAAGCTGTCCATTCTTAAGAAGCATCTGTGATTATGTATGTAGTAAAACAGGTTCTGAAATTAATTATCTTAGAATTGGGCTCAGTAGACCTGGCATAGATCCCAAGAATTTGCAGCATTTCTAACAAGTTTCCCAGGTAACTCTCAGGCACGTAGTTCTCAGAAGGTGCTTAAGAATTACTGCCTTAAAATTTAAAGAAAATTTTCTTTTCATGCCATGCTGTATTCTACATACAAAAAGCACCTTCCTTTATTGTTTTTCTATAAAATACTATTTAAACTTTCCTGAATTACATTTTATAATTACAACAAAATCTGTTGTGACCCATGCAGATTACTATACAATTCTTTATCCCTTTAAATGGAGTAGAAATACAGGAAGAATGCTAAATATGATTTTTTTTAAAAAAAACTCACACTTTAATCATAAGAAAAATACTTTGATTGCCATTACGTGACTCTAAATCGGTAAATCATTACAATGATAATGTATATTTTGGTTCATTAACTTTATAAAATATTATTCAAAAGTTCCTGCAAGGTGCTTTTTCTTTAATACTTTATAATTTTTCCTTCAAAATATTTTATTAGATCACAATGAGTTTTTCATATGATTTTAGAGAATAGTAATATAAGTGATGTTTTCCTTCTTGTATTAGTAATACTTTACTTCTACCTTTTTGGAATGGATTATTTTTCTGTACAAGTCCTTTCAGTAATATGGCACCATGTCATAGGTGGTGAACACAGTGACATTATTTAAGGTCAGGGTACAGAGAAAATATATTACTAGGCTCTACTTGTTGTATTAGGGTCCACCTTTCTTTCACAGAAACATTGACTTGTTATTTCATAATTTAAGTTCCAGACTCGGTTTTCTTGTTTCTAAGGTTGGTAGGTCATTTCTTTAAGAAGATTTGATATATTTCTAATCTTTTCTAATTTGAATATTATCATAGTGTGATCTGGTGATTTTTTTAAAAAAATATATCAGTAGTGCCCAAGCTGCATTAGGAGATTTCAGCTGATATTAAATTAACCCCAACCGCCACCTCCAGTCAAATGTGGCACCTTTGCATGACAATATCACACCCACTTTTGTTTTATTTATTTTTTTTAAATGTATTTTAAGGGGTTCACTTGAAAATAACTCATAATAATAGGCAATTGTGAAATGTTTAGTTTCATTGAGTGCTCTAACCACATGCACCTGAATAATCCAGCTCTCCAAAGGCTGAAATCTATTCTAGCTACTTTGAATACATAGTGTCCAATGGCAACTACAAATATATTCTAGGGCTCATCAAAATGGAATGAACCAGAATATCTACACACTCAAAACAAACAAAAAGGAATAGATGTTCATTTTTAAAGTTCTATTTTTATTTATTTATTTATTTATTTATTTATTTATTTATTTATTTTTTTTTTTGAGACGGAGTCTCGCTCTGTCGCCCAGGCTGGAGTGCAGTGGCCGGATCTCAGCTCACTGCAAGCTCCGCCTCCCGGGTTCACGCCATTCTCCTGCCTCAGCCTCCCGAGTAGCTGGGACTACAGGCGCACGCCACCTCGCCTGGCTAGTTTTTTGTATTTTTTAGTAGAGACGGGGTTTCACCGTGTTAGCCAGGATGGTCTCGATCTCCTGACCTCATGATCCGCCTGTCTCGGCCTCCCAAAGTGCTGGGATTACAGGCTTGAGCCACCGCGCCTGGCCCATTTTTAAAGTTTTAAAAGGCTAAAGAAATCGCAACACTATTTTAAAATATATACACTTCCACATGATAATATGCCCTTGAGCCGGGAAATCATTAAAATAAAATTTTGTGGCAAAAACCCTCCACTGTTTTTGTGGTGGCATTTCTGCCATGTTTCAAATTAGAACTCCTGTAAATCTTGAACAGGAAAATAGAAATCTCACCTGTCTGTATTCAGACCTAAACAAAGAATTGAAATAAGGTTCCAGGCCAGGCGCAGTGTCTCAAGCCTGTAATCCCAGCACTTTGGGAGGCTGAGGCGGGCAGATCACGAGGTCAGGAAATCAAAACCATCCTGGCTAGCACAGTGAAACCCTGTCTCTCCTAAAAATACAGAAAAAAAAAAAAAAAAATAGCCAAACGTGGTGGTGGGCGCCTGTAGTCCCAGCTACTTGGGAGGCTGAGGCAGGAGAATGGCTTGAACCCAGGAGCCGGAGCTTGCAGTAAGCCGAGATTGGGCCACTGCACTCCAGCCTGGGCGACAGAGTGAAACTCCAAAACCAAAAACAGACAAGCAAACAAATAAATAAGATTCCAAATCAAACTTTCTAACTTGTTGAGGTTGATACATTAGTATCTGATTTCAAATATGTAGCGATTTAACTAAACAAATCCATGTTAAAACAGAATCTATACTTTGATCATTCCTTTTTAAATGAAATCATGATAATTTTGACACGATTCTCTATACTGAGGTATCCATTTCCTCACTGGAGTTCTGATAGATGCTACAAATAAATAAAAGTTTAAAGGGTTTTTCCACAAATGATGAGGAGGCTAAGAATCCAGGAATGCGATGCACTAGACTGGTAGCAGACCAAGCAGCAGAACTAAAGCTCAAAAGTAGGTGAAGGAACTTTCTATCAATAACTTCAATAATGAAGTGTAAAGTGGAGCATATTTATACTTCTGAACTGTTTCTTTATTCAGCAACCTTGTACAGAAAGTCTTCTTTATCTTTTTTTTATATTATTTATTTATTTAGAGACAGAGTCTCGCTCTGTCACCCAGTCTGGAGTGCAATGGCGTGATCTCAGCTCACTACAACCACCACCTCC